ATCAGAAGTGTCTTCTCCCCACGTGCCCTCCAAGCCCCCCATTCCCTGGGCTGCAAATCAGCCGCTGGAAGCAGGAAGCCATCTTGTTCCTTCCCTGAAGAGCTTTGCTCTCCACAATAGCACCTCCTCTTGGGATTTTCATTTGTTGAGGGCAGCACGGGGTTTTAAAGGCAGTTCCTAGCTAGGAGAGGACCCCAGCAGCCGGCAGCTGTGCCAGGTACGTGACAGCCCACGCAGAGCCCAGCAGCTCAGCTCTGCTGCGGAGCTGCCGGCGCCCACCCGCGAGGGGTGACTCGCTGCCAGGGGACACTGATTTAACGACCTAATGAGCCRTGTGTTTTCGCGGTTGGCTCCTTCTGCGTGCGGCTGCGTCCCCACAGCCTGAGCATGCAGGGTTGTTGCAGCCGTCTCTCCGCCCAAAAGGAGGCTGAAAAAGCCTGGGTGTGTTTGAACCTTGAAACAGAACGCCAAATTCAGTGCTGAAGTACAAGGGCACGGGGAACGCCTCCTAGCAACGGTCTCCTCCGTGACTTGAGTGGATGCAGTTGCTTTTTTGGAAGGCTGTCAACTCTCTGCCCTAAATTAATCTCCCCTACCTGTGGTGGTCTAGTGAGGATCAAGACGCCCGCGGGTGCTAAGTAACACTGCAAAGAACCACCCGTGCAGGAGGGCTCTGCCTTGATTGTAAGCTGCTTTTCCACCCTCTGATCTCCATGCTAACCCTTGGGGGAAAAGGCAGAAAAATCCCACCCCGGCTTTAAGAGTAGAAACAGAGGGACTTACACTGAAAAGCAGCATTGCTGAGTCAGCACTCCCACGGCTGGTCCCGCTTGGAAAGCACGTGCAGGAGCTGCAAAGCAGGAGAGGTCTGYATTTGAATGCCGACAAAGCCACTGTCGTCCCCAGAAGGACCGTGCAGGCCGAACCCGGGGCGCTCGCAACGCGGCTCCATCGCAGCACCTCGTGTGCTCCSCAACGTCCTGCGACAGGGAGTGCCGAGGCCGCACAGGGGCCTCGACCTCCCCAGCCGCTCGTTGCCTAACTCTGAGGCCACATTTTCTTAGCAAGACCTCCAAGTACTTGCTGGCGAAAGCGCCCTTCAGGCCAGTCCCACAGCAGAACTGGACCTGCTGGGGGTCACCTCGCGGGCCAGGCGAGGACCAGCTCTTGGTGCTGGAGCCACATTCCASTGCCAGGCCTGGCTGCCGGCGCTGGCCGCGCACCCTGGAGGGTCCCAGTGCCAGGAGAACCCCCGCCAACACTGCCGATCCCGGCGGRGACGCTGAACGCGCTCAGCGGAGGCCGCCGCGTGCTGCCCTGCTTCACACACAACGCCACGGGCTCCTGCGCTGCGCTCTCCTAGCGCTGCTGCACCCGCCGCGCTCCGTTTATCAGCCCTGGGCTGCTTTTCTTATCTGCCACACCTGCAAACTCCCTTTTCCCCAGAAGGAGGGAATTTTTCAGCTGGCAGCCCTCTCGGGGCCGAGYCCTCGGGAAGCCCCGGGCCCGCCAGAGCTTCCAGCACGGGCAGCCGGGGCCGCTGCCTCCCTCCTGCCCRGCACGCTGGGCCCCGGCGTCCTCGCTTTGGCTCTTGCCCGGCCGCAGGGTCTCCGCACGAGGCCCGCGGCTTGACGCCGGGCTGGCAGCAGCGGGGCCCGCGCGGGCTCCCACCCGGGCTGCCCTCGGCTCGCGGTGACCATCAGCAGGGCTGCGCGGCGCCGGGAGCCGTTTATGGCCCTGAGGAGATTACACGCCAGATAAAAATAACAGCGCGGAGGCAAACCCTCCTGGCGGATGAGTTCCCAGGGCACAGGCAAGGCACAAATAATAGTAAAGACCAAAAAAGAGAAGAAGGTAGAACGTTATCTCCTGCCTCCAGAGGCCCCACGTTGCTTCTCCCATTTGTCTCCTCGGCGGGGCTGCGGGCGCCGTGGCGCGGGCTGATGGCAGCGCCGGAGCTGGCGGCGGGCCGGGCAGTGCCGCGCCGGCGCCGCGACGCCGAGCTGCCCCGCGACGACGCGCGGCGCGGGCAGCACCTCGCTCGCTGGAGCGGCTCCCGTTGGGACGGCGTCACGAGGGCGGCGGCAGCGGCCGCAGGTCCCTGCTGTGCGTCGCGCTGAGGGCAGAGGCCCAGCGCAGCCCGCGGAGCCCCACGGCCGGCGGCCGCGCGGCTTGGCGCGCTCTGCCCGCGTTGGCTCCGGGCGCTGCCACAGGGCCGGGCGGAGCCAGGCCGCTCCCTGGGCCCGGCCGTGGGAAGGGGCAGAGCCACCGGGGACCAGCAGGTCGCCCCGGGGCTGGTGTGCGAGTACGGCCCAAGCCGCTGCCCGACGCATGGGCGCAGCTCAAGCTGTTGCCTGAGGCACAAGTAAAGCTGGAGAAAGTGTCCACCCCATGGACACAGCTGGAGTGCCCCCAGACCCACCCCCAGTCCTGCCTGCCGGGGTCTGGGGCAGAATTCCTGCAAAACCCAGCGACCAGCCTCCACACTGGCACTCAATGAAGCCTGGGCATTGATTTCTACCTGCTCTGAGTGGGTTCTTCTGGGGGGTTGTGCATTCCCTAACTCCAGCAGGAGGCCCGTCTTGCTGCACCGGGGGAGGTGACAAGATGGGCAGAAGGGGATGCTTCCATCTCAGCCTTGATGTCACCTCTGCTGYCTGGAGACCTGGAGTAAAAGGAATAATGCAGGCAGAAAATCACTTGTCTCTTTGCTGGAAGCCATCCCGTAGCTGTCCAGACTGCAGGAACTGCCTTCAAGCAGCACCTTTCCTCTGTATCCAAGGTGGGATACAAGGTGGGATACCCTCGTGGGTAGAGATCTTCAGCCACGTCAACTTTGGGGGGCTGGCGAAGACATCTCCAAGATGGGGCTCTCCAAGACTGGGGTCTGCAGGGGCCCAGCACAAAACTGAAACCCTCGCAGGTSTGGTGAGAGTTGGTACTGCGCCAGAGACTCCCCAAACAGACCACTAACTCCTATTTCCTCCTCCCAGCATTGTCTGATTCGCTGAGAATCCTTATTTTAGCCTCTGCAATACTTGAGTCTCCTTTCCCTTGCCTACAGCCTTCTCTAGGGTCATTGCAGGGCAAAGCTACACCCATCCCCTGAACTCYGGCAGAGCACAAGGGTGCTCCCGTGAGCCACCAGTCAGCTTGGCAGCCTCATGCAGCCCTTCTCCCTGATTAAGAATTTAGCTCAGGGAAGCACTTGTGAGCAACCCAACACCTCGCAAGAATAGCTTGACCTCCCTAGTAGCAAATTTTGCTCTTCATTCAGGCTCAGGCAGCTCGGTCCTGACACCAATATCTCGGTGCAAAAGCAACACGATGGGACATGTGGTTGAAACTGCTTTGAAACAAGGACTGGCCCCCCYGGGGCAGTTCTGCTCCTCTGTGCAACACAAGCAGGTACACAGCTGGGCAAAAGGGAGCGTTAAGTGAACCTGGGGCTAGGAGAGCTTCAGGCATCAAGCAAGTCCAGCTCTACCCACATCTCAGAGGCAAGTGCCAGCAGAAGAGACRAGAGAAAGCTGCTGCCCCCAGAGGTAGGAAAGGATGAAGCTTAATTACATGGCCATAATTAAGGACAAGCCAATGGAATCTTGGCTGCAACAGAAGGACATTGCCAGCAGGTCATGGGAGGGGATCCTGCCCCTCTCCTCAGCTCTGGTGAGGCTGCATCTGCAGTACTGGGGTCAGTTCTGGACTCCTCAGTAGAAGAGGGATGTGGAGCTTCTAGATAGGGTCCACCACAGAGCAACAAAGATGATGAAAGAACTGGAGCATTTGTCTRAGGAAGAAAGACTAAGTGAGCTGGGCCTGTTTAGTGTGGAGAAGAGAATGTTGACAGGGGATCTCATCAATACATTACCTGAGGGGAGAATGTAAAGAAGATGAGGCCAAACTCCTCTTAGTGGAGACCAGTGAAAGGTAATGGGTACAAATTAGAACATAGCAAGTTCTATCTCCMTATGTGGAAGAACTTCTTCACTGTGRCAGAGCCCTGAAACAGGCTGTCCAGGCAGGTTGTGGAGCCTCCTTCTCTAGACATCTTCACAACCTGTCTGGATGCCACCCTGTATCCTGTGCTCTAGTGAGGGTGTCCCTGCTTGAGCGGTGGGCTTGGACTAGATGATCTCTTCCAGCCTCAACCACTCTGTGATTCTGGCTTAGAAAGCCTCTGGAKTTCAATTGCCTCATAAAAACAGGCCAGGAAAAAAAATCCCAGCTTCTCTATGTATCACTTAGCTTTAGAGCAAGACATCTTAACGTTGATAGCAAACATACCTGTGATAGCCTCTTTCCCTTAAATGCCTTATCTACASTCTCTCCTGGTATTTGCACTGCGTGAAGTCTGTCAACAAAAGGCGAGAAGGGGCTGGAAAGGAGGAAGCGTAGGAACCTCCAGATGGATAAATGGGAGGAAACATCTCTCCCCAGGGAACTTCTGCCCCCAGGAACTCTCAATTCAACTCTCCACCTGGACAAGATCCTGCAGCTTGGACCAGCCCCACAGTGTGCTGGCCACAACAGCTGCTGTGTTAAATGTGTGTGAAACCAGGGCACACATGCAGGCAATGTCCCGGAGTAGGGGCTTGCCTGGCTCCTCAGCAGAGGAGCTCCTGGCTCCTCCTCCTTATGGGGGTCCATCTGCTGGGAAAAATGGAGTTATCCCAGAGCTGTCTGCTCTAAGGAGAGGGACTGTGCACAGTAAAAAAACCTCACCTCTTCAGGACAGACTCCTTGGAGACAACCCAGCAGCAGTTCCTGCACTGATTCAGCGGGCAGCTGCCCYGAGCACCCCGTGCCAGCTGCAAGAGAAGACCCTTCCAAAACTGCCCCAAGGAGCAACGCGTGGCAGAGGGCAGTAAGAAATGACAGCCACAGCACCACAGCCCCAGGGAGGCACATCACCGAGAGCAGTCACTGCATCCTGCCACAGCCAGGATGGGACAGACACCAGCAAATCATGGCAGAAACCTCAGCTTTTTATTAAAAAAAAAAAAATAGAAACTGTTTACAGGCTGTGTCACTGAAAGGGCGTGGAAYGGCCTTAAGAAGAAATGCTGGAGAGCAGCTTTTCAAGGAAAAGGCTCCCTTCTGCTGCAGGCTCCATTCCCCCCCGGCTGGTGCAAGAGCCCTGCTGTTCACAGAGCCTCCCTCCCCTCCATGATACACTGCAGCATCCAACGACCGYGGGCAGTTGCAGGGGAACCTCCTGCTCTGGCGCGAGGCCTTCTCCTCTGCCCCCATCTCTGAAAATTCAAATGAACCACCCAGGATCACCCTACAAGAAGCCAGTTCTCCGCAGGGCTTCCTCGCTTGCCTCAGACTGCTCGCTGCACTTGTGGGTTAGGAAGCAGGAATGGTGGCAGCAACATCAAGATGACAGTCCTCACGCCAGGCCTGTCACGCTGACCCCACCGCACAAGCTAAGGTGGGCAGAGGCACTGACACACACGACGTGAAGGCCTGTGCAGAGGAGAACTGAGGGAACCCAGGCACCCTGGGGAAAGGCACAGCAGGAGGGGTATTTACAGACAGGGAACATTTTTTAATTTAGCATTTTTRTCCCAAAAGCAAAGCAGAGGGATTTCCACCAAAATCCAAGATGGTCTCTGCAAGGTTTGGCCAGGCTACATGAGGCCCAAGGCCCAGGCAMCCTCTGCACATGGAGGACAGGGCTGGCTCCCTCGAGGGGAGGCCTGGAACTGCCATCACGCCCGTTGCGCCTTCTTGGCCTTCTTCTTCTCCTCTTTCATGGCCATGTCGTGGGCTTTTCTCTTCTCGGCGAGTTTGTTAGCCTGAGGAGAAATGCCCAAGACACACAGTCAGATCAGTCTGCAGATGCTACAGGCTTCTCTGCTCTTAGATGCACTGCCTGTTCAACCTGTACATAGGGGAGATGGACCCATCTCCTGCTGCCCAGGAAAGAGAAACCCAGGGCAGCCCTGGGGCACCGAGCTGCCTGGGCACCGAGCTGCCTGGGCACCGAGCTGCCTGGGCACAAGCAGCAGCATGTGGCATCCCCCTGAGCAGGCCGGGATCTCTAGGAGAGCGGGAAGAGCTCTGTTCTGCCAGGGCCAGTCCATGGCCGGGGTCACACTCAGAAGAGGCCTCAAGAGGCTCAGCCTTCGTTATCAACTGCAAAGTGGGCACAGTACAGAGAGGGAAAGAGCAAAGAGCAGAGCTGAAAAACCCTTGGGCATCTGCAATGTTTAYAGGCCAATGACTAAAGACTCATTCCAGGTGGCTTCAGCACTGTCCAGAGTCTCACAGGAAGGCAGGGAGCTGGGTTTGCCACCACAGGGGCCCTCCTCCCACAAATGGAGCAGGGAAAGGCACAGTCCCTCASCAGGCGCTGGCACAGGCACGGGAACAGGATACAGGCAAGGGTCTCGCGGCCCAAAACTGTGCTGGTGCCTCGCTACTGTGGGAAGGCAGCACTCACCTCTCGGACTTTGCGTTTCTTGCCAAACATTATCTTCTTGTAGAGGTATTTCTCCCTCTTCTTCATCATCATGATGGCCAGGCGCTTCTCCTCGCTTTGCTGCTCCTGCTCCAGGCGCTGCTTGTCCTCCAGCCGCACCTTGCCAGCTGTCACCTTCACAGGGAGCACCTGCAGGCAGCGGGAGAGCTCAGGATCCCGGATGCCAAGAGCCCACCCTCTCCCAGGACAGCTGCTCCCTCTGCACTCTTCTCCATGGAGCATAGCACCCTCTGGACAAGGCAGCTGCACGAGAGCTGCTGCAGACAGAGCAGCCGTGACAGTCCCAGCACATYAACACATGAGTGTTGGGCAGGGAGCACAAGCAGCTGTGATGGGACCAAGGGCCATCTCAGACMCTTCATGGCCAGGATTCTGGTCTGCCTTGGAGGCCATCCAGTCTGCTGGGGTGGGCTGTTGCATTTCACTGTGCTCGTGTTTCAAGAACAGCAAGTTCTGCAGCTCGGTGGAGGGTCTCCTGAGCCCAGACATATCCCTCTATTGGAGAAGGGCCACTTCTTTCTCACAGTAAGGCTGAAGAGGCTGGAGGGGGTGTCCCCCATGCAAGAGCTGCAGCTCCCAGATGGGGCTGGGACAGGCTCCTGTGGACCCTGGCAGGCCTGCCCTGCGGGCCCAACCTCAGCCTGATGCTCAGACAGCCTGGTGAAAGGCTGGGGACACAGCACAGGCCACCCAGGTCTCAGCCTGGGCTCTGCTGGAGTCCTTCCCACAGAGCCCAGTCCAGSCCTTCCCAGCTCTGTCCAGGCCAGGAGCACACGGCAGTTCCACAGCACACGCAGAACAGGGACGTGGCCAGGACGCCAGGCAGGGAGCAGGGCCCGGCAGCAACAGCACTCACAGAAGTGCTCTCCTCCTGGAGCTCCCAACTCCCTGCCAAGCACGATACCTTGCCCTGAGTCTTCTGCTCTTCCATCTTCTTCAATTTTGTCTCTTCTTCCTTTTCAGAATCATCTTCTTCGTCTTCCTCCTCCTCATCATCATTGCCCTCCTCCTCCTCCTCCTCCTCCTCCTCTTCCTCCTCTTCCTCACTCTCTTCACCTACGGAGAGGCCAGTATTACCAGCTCGGGATTGTGACAGGTAGAGCAGAGCCTGGCACAGCAGCCCGTACAGCTCTGCCGAGGCAGCTGGGCCTGAGCCTGCCTGCTTCACACCTCGGGGGCTGCTGCCTCGCGTTACCTGGCTGCTCGCCCCGCTGCAGGGCCAGCAGTTTCAGCTTCTCCGGAGGGATGTAGTCTCCTTCCTGCTCCGTGACGAAGGGCGAGAGGTGCGGGGGCAGCAGCACGCCAGGGAAATAGTCAGCCACAGGGAGGCACAGCTTGGCGTTGACGGAGTCGAAAACCCACTGAGGCTGCAGGTAATATCTGTGGGGCAGAGGGAGAGGAATGTAGGGCATGGGGTCAGGCCATCTCCTCCTGTCCCATGGTCTCACCAAGACTCCAGCAGAGCAGGACACCATCACAACCTGTCCTGAAGCACCCTGGAAGCATGTGACAGCTCCAGGACTGCCACGTGTGCCTGCCAACCCAGGCCCCTATTTCGGGGACAGTCCTCACTCACCTGCCAACAACCTGCTGCTCCACACGGGGCCGGTCAACAATCTGGTGTGTGATAGATGGGTCACTCACATCGTAGGTGGCACCGATGCACAGAGACTTGTCCCAGGACACCTGGCCCCCAAAGCACCTGCCAGTACAASACACCAAGGGGTTATTTGGACTGAAACAGCCCCCAAGTTCACTTTGCTTGCAGGATGTCAGGCAGGGCAGCCCCGGCCTCCCATCACAAAGGGGAGAAAAAGCCAGGAAGGGGTATAGCAGGGCTGTGAAGGAACAGCACGCTCGCACGTACCGGATGATGAAGGCSAGCGGCTCTCGGGGCACCTCTCTGTTGAGGAAGAAGCGCAGCCCTTCAAACAGCCTTTTCTGCTTCTCCAGGGCCTCCTGCTCCTTCTTCTTTGCATCCATCTGCTCAGCAGTCTCCTGTTCAGAACAAAGTCAGAGCCTCCTGCACAGGAACTTTCTCTCCCGCCGCGACACCCCCTGCCAAGCCCCTTTTGGCCAGGAAGGCTCCTGTGTGCTGCTCCCCATCCTGCTGATCACATAGGTCATCCCAGCACCACAGCAGGCAGTGCCAGTCCTTGCTCAAGCACAGGACCCCTGCTGAGCCACAGGACACGCTGTGAATAGAGTGACACAGTCCAGGGCTGAGCCACCCCACGAGGCACTTACCCCCTCCACAGGGAACTCATCCATCTCCACGTCATCCTCTGTGGTTGGTGCCACCACACGGGTCAAGCTGGCACTCAAGGCTGAGAGCTTCTGCAGAGGGGACAGACCAAGAAGGTGTCATCTCCAAATGGCTTTTTGAGGATGGGAGAAAAAGCAGCCTTGCAGAGGAAAGGAGGGTGGATTCCCTGCAGCAAAGGATCAAAGGAGCTCCTCTCCTCCCTTGTAAAAGTTCAGTCTCCTCCATTGTGCTTCCTTACCCGACACTCCCCRACACAGTAGCTCCAAAGAGCCACACGTGACACAGGCTAGATGCCAACGACCCTCAAGGATAAGCACAGCTCTGCCCTGGGGCAGCACRTGAGGAGCTGGGAAGCCTTTCACCTCCAGGAACCGGGCTCTGCTCTGCAGTTCCCACACGCTCAACATCCCAGGCCAGGAAAGGATCCATGGTCAGGACACAAAGGTCAATGGTTCTTGGGTGCCAACTCAAGCCGTGGCTGACGCGGGTGCGCCCTCACCTCCAGGTAGCTCTCCGAATCCATGGCGTACGCCTCGCCCTCCGCAGGCTTCAGCTCAACCTCCGCCTGCCCTTCGATCTGCAGAAACACAGGTCGGTGGGGACACAGCCCCCACACACAGAGTCCCCAAACAGCCTCTCCTCCGCCACACCGTGCCCAGGGTCAGCGTTATCCTCCAGGCAGTGTTTGCTTCCCTCCARCTGCACGAGGCCCTGACGGGCACGGGTGCCCACCAGCTCCAAGCAGATCTTGCACTGGGGCGGCTCATGCCCAGCGTGGCCYGTGACTCACCTTGGGGGGGTAGAGCAGGTTGAGGGAGTGGTAGAGGCGAAAGTTGACAAAGCCCAGCAAGGTGGTGTAGAACTCGGTGAAGGTGGCCATGACGCGGTAATCCACGTCCGTGGGGTGCTGTGGACACGCAGGAGGAGTTAGGGTACAGGGCTGAAAGAGCAGACTCCCTCTGTAGGGACAGGGGCCCATTCTCCTGGCACCAGCTTGGGGTGTGGGACCTGGCAGCTCATCCAGCACCAAGTCCCTTGAATCTCTGCTGCCCACTCACTCCCTGATCTGGAGCTGAGAGATGCAACACGTTGTTCTCTGTATCTCTGTTTCCTCATCTGCAAGGGAGGATACTGCCCTCTCCGCAACAAGGTCCATGGATGTCTSTGCCCAACGCCATGCCTGCGGCAGGAGAGGTCTCTGTGCGACCCAAGGAGCCGTGTGCCAGTGCCCTCCTGCCCCACAAGGCCCGAATCACTCCTCCTGCCCTCCCTAGTGCAAGTCCTGCAAGCCCTCAGCTGCCCCAGCTACTCAGCTAGATGGAGCAGCACATCCCACAACAGATGGGGACCCTGAGAGGAGGTGGATCTGCCACTCACTCCCTGGCAGGGGTCCACGTGTCCCCAGGCAACCCTGCAGCACCTAAGGAAGCTGGAAACAGGCCAGAACTTTCCAGATGGTCTTTTCGTGACTCAGTCAAGAGACTCTGGTCCCCCAGGTCAGATTCATAGGCCACTAGCAAAGCGGAACAAGAGTCTCAAACTCGGAAGAGTGTGGCAAGGACTAACAAAGCTGAAACCAAGCAGGGATCTAGCCAGTCCCTTAACGATCAAAACTCAAGGAAGCAAGAAGTAATGCTGGCCAGAAAACACACGGGCTCACTCAGGTGATACTGCCAGGGAGAGAGGGGAGGTGAYCCCCAGCGCAGGCTGTACAGAAAGCCACAAAGCTCCAGGCCGACTGTGCCACCCCCAGACAGGCCCAGAGCAAGTCAGGACAGTGACCACGATGGGAGCTCATGTCGCTGACCTTGGCACAGCAACCTGTCCTGGCAAAGTTTGTCCCACACCTCCCGGAGCCCCTGCGGCCTCGCTGGAGACCTGCACGAGTTCTGCTGCTGGCAGGACACGGCAGAGCCRCCCCAGCAAGGAGGGCGCGGAGTCTCACTCGCTCACTCCTCCCCTCAGGGCTACCAGCCTCATTACTGCAGGTTAATCTTTAATTGTTGAGCTAATCAGATTTTAATAATTGACAGCAAAAGGAAACAGCTACCAGAGAAAGCCGGTACAGCTGGCACAGCCAGGCACAACAGACAAGGACACAACCATCCTGGGCTGGAAAACAGTTGTGACCCAAGTCGGCCTTCATAGTCTCCACCTCAGCCTGAACACAACCTGATTTCTCTCTTCGCCACAAGAGCAGCGAGACACTCCCATAACCTYTTCCCCAGTCCCAGCGAGGTGACAGCAGGGCAAGGGCCCTGCAGCACACGGTTACTCACATCATGCGCGAAGGCGTAAGGGGTGATCCAGGTGACCGGCTGTCCCAGCACCTCAGCCTGGTAGTAGATACCCTTGATGGAGAGGAAGACCTGGCAGGGAGCAGAGCAAGGCCTCAGGTGGAGGGGGCCCCGCAGCAGCCCATGGCCCTGCTCCTACTCAGGGCCGTTCTCATTAACACTTCCACAGCCAGCAGGTTTGTTTGGGGAACATCCAAGATGGACACCCAAACCCTCCCGCTTTTGACACTGCCACGACTGGCCAGCCCCRCATCCTTCTGTGCTCCAAGCCCGCTGCTCCATCCCCACAGCGCCCCGGAGCGCGGAGCCCTGTCTGCAGACCCCCCGAGCTTGCACCTTGCGCAGGGAGCGCGAGGCAATGACGTAGTTGAGGAACTCCACGGACAGGCGCCGGCACAGCTGGATGGTCTGGACGTGGCACTTGCCGGTCCGTGGGAAGGTGGAGAAGAGGAAGCACATGGAGAGGGCATCGTCCAGGTCTCGCAGAGCATCAATGAACGTTGGGTACCTGTGCCAGGGCAGCAGGAGTGGGGGAAAAAACAAACCCAGCTGCAGAGCCCCCAGAGCCAGCACCTGCCCAAAGTGCAGGAGCTGCTCAAGAGGAAGGGAAGGGGCCTCRGAGCCACCCCAGAGCATCGACATCCCACACGGCCCTTCGAGCCAGAGGATCCCCGGAGATGCACTGTCCCTTGTGAGTACTGAGAAGCTGGCAGCCTGCAGCTCCCTGCTCACTCGTGCTTTGCTACAGCCAACAGGCAGCTCACTGCATCCTTCTGCACTAGCTCTGAAACCCCATGTGCCAGCCAGCCAATTCCCAGAACTGCCACGGGAGCCATCCTAAGCAGGGATGGACACAGCAAGGGCTCCACCGGCTCCAGTTCAGTTGACTGTTGGTAACAACTCTCTCATGTGAGGATCCTCCTGCTGGGTCTCCTCCACACTGAGGTGCAGGTGGTGCCTCACCTCTCCTTCACAATGTGGTCAAGTTTGTAATTGGGCTTGTTGTCCTTCAGCCGCTCCACGGTGCTCCACTCGCTTTTCCCATACGCCTTGCGGAGCTTCCGGACAAACACCTGCRGGGCAGACAAGGGGAGACTCAGGGCGCCCTTCCAGGGAAACGATGGAGGGAGGCGAAGGCTGCCTCGCACGGTCAGAAATGCAGCCCGGGACATCAGTGCCATCCCCCCTGGCTGTACAGGCTCTTGAGGGAACAGCTTTCAGGTCAAAGACGCTGTCATGCAGCTACTCATAAGAGAAGGCCCTGCTCCGCTGCCACAAGATGGTAACTGAAGCTGGGAGCAAGGGACAACAGCCTCGAAGGGAGAAGATCCCATGACCCCATCCTAGGCACAAGCATAAGAGCCCCTGGACATGATTCCCAAAACTCCTGTGCATCGTAACTACCTTATACTCCCGGAACTTGTTGACAATGGGCTCGTGAAGGAGAAACTTGATGTCTTTGAGGAGATAGAAAGTCCTGGCTGCAGTGGAGCCTTTGTTCACCTTCTTCTTATGCTTGGGCTCATGGGGGTAAATCCCCTTCAGGATACAGAGGCGCCTGTTAACGGAGATGCAGATGACAAACTGGATCTCAACATCCACTCAAAGCAACTGAAACAAGGGCTAGAAACTCTCTTTATTTCTACCTTATCCCAGCGCACTCTGCTCCACCTCCCTCCCGCGTCCCCTCGCTCTCAGTGCCACCGCACCGGGCTGGGACACATGGCCCTGGGAACCCCCAGCTGGCGCTGCGTCGCTGCCCCAACACCGCTCCCGGAGCGGGCAGGACCACCCCGCGCTGCCGAGCGGAGCGGCCGGCTTCACCGGGCTCCTGGGGAGAGCGGCGTCCTCCGCGCCGGCTGCGCGGCTCCAGGCGCCTCCCCAGGGTGGCCGGCCTCACRTGCCCGCGTCCCGACTCCGGGGACATCAGCCGTGCGGTGAGGAGCTCTCCTCCTCTCACCAGCCGCCTCCAACACCCGTAAGCRCGCGGGACTGTCAACCCCCTGGGGGTTGCTGCAGCCCGGACACAAGCGGGAGCTTCCCGAGCCCTCTCGGTGGTGATGCCCACAGGGCTCGTGGCTGGTGCGGACCTCTGGAGTGCAACCCGCTCCGGCTGGGACAGGAGCGGAGCCACAGGGGACGTCCCGGCGGGCTGCAAGCGCTGCGGGGAAGGAGCCTCCGCGGGCAGCCCGTTCCCGGGCCCCGGAACTTGCTCCCCAAGGGCCAAACCC